TCAGCGGCAGTGGTGGTGGTGGTGGTGGTGGTGGTGGTGGTGGTGGTGGTGGTGGTGGTGGTGGTGGTGGTGGTGGTGGTGGTGGTGGCCGTGGCCGTGGCCGCAGTGGCGGCAGTGGCGGCAGCGGCGGCAGCGGCGGCAGCGGCGGCAGCGGCGGCAGTGGCGGCAGTGGCGGCAGTGGCGGCAGTGGCAACAGTGGCAACAGTGGCAGCAGTGGCAGCAGTGGTGGCAGTGGTGGCAGTGGTGGCAGTGGTGGCAGTGGTGGCAGTGGTGGCAGTGGTGGCAGCAGCAGTAGTAGCAGTAGCAGTAGCAGTAGCAGTAGCAGTAGCGGTAGCGGTAGCGGTAGCAGTAGCAGTAGCAGTAGCAGTAGCACTAGCAGTAGCAGTAGCAGTAGCAGTAGCAGTAGCAGTAGCAGTAGCAGTAGCAGTAGCAGTAGCAGTAGCAGTAGCAGTAGCAGTAGGAGTAGGAGTAGGAGTAGGAGTAGGAGAAGGAGTAGGAGAAGGAGTAGGAGTAGGAGTAGGAGTAGGAGTAGGAGTAGGAGTAGGAGTAGGAGTAGGAGTAGGAGTAGGAGTAGGAGTAGGAGTGGTAGTGGTAGTAGTAGTAGCAGTAGTAGTAGCGGTAGCAGCAATAGTAGTAGTAGTAGTAGTAGTAGTAGTAGTAGCAGTAGCAGTAGCAGTAGCAGTAGCAGTAGCAGTAGCAGTAGCAGTAGTAGCAGTAGCAGTAGCAGTAGTAGTAGTAGTAGTAGTAGTAGCAGTAGCAGCAGTAGCAGCAGCAGCAGCAGTAGTAGTAGTAGTAGTAGTAGCAGTAGTAGTAGTTGTTGTTGCAGCAGTAGCAGTAGCAACTGCAGCCTTCGTTTTCGATGTTGCTGATGTTGTTGATGTCGTTGTCGTAGCCGCTATGGATCACAGCAGGCTGTGTAGCTTTGCTAACAAGGCTCTGGGTACCAACGCTAGAGGTCGCAACGTCCCCCTTCTGCGAAGCTTAAGGGACCGTCCTCTTATTGAGCCATAGCCATCCCTGGAGCCACGTGTCGCTGTGATCTACCGGGTCCCAATTCCCGGGCCTCTGTCTGCAGTTATACAACATTGGCAAGAGGTAAGCGGTAGGGTTATCACCTTTCCGCGGGGTGAAGGGAGTCGGATCGAGTTTTCTCTTTCCGGCGAAACTAGCGGAAGGCGCGTCGACTGTGCCTCAGTGCTTTTCTCCTGCCGATGCCTTTACATTTACAAAAGGACCTGCCGCACCAAGCCATTCAAGGGTCGGCCCCAGTCATGGGTTGGCCATCTTCTGCACCTGGGTATCCTGAAGGAAGCTTTCGAGTTGAGGCCTCGTTCCGCTCCTCTCTTCGACTTTCCAGCTACACGACAAGACACCCAGGTACAGCTCAAGGTCTCTCCTGCGCAGTTTTGCTGGCGCTTTGGCTTTGCGCTTTAACTGGTACACCTCCGCAAGAAGGACACGGATCGTCTGGTATTCTCATGCAGTCTTCTTCGAGCACTAGTTTTTCCTTCAACGGCACAGTGGACTGCCACCGGCTGCTACGAAGCCAGTGCGATCGAGAGTTCTTCGTCACGGTTGAGTGTTTTCTGCGCTTCACTTCTGTTCAGCCGCCAGCGCCTGGGAGCAAGTCAGACTCAGGACAGGCTAGGCGCAACGTGGTGACTCACAACGCGTCAGCATCCTCCCAATGCTGGCCCCGACGGGCATTTCAGGGACTCCTCTTGCTATGGGGTGCCCTTGTGGGCCTAGAGGGGCTATCCTCTCTGGAGGGGGAGGCCTCTCGGGGGCCGCCGGGCCAGACTTGTCTACAAGACAAGGCGCAGATTGGGACACTGGGGACTTAGGTTCAGCAGAGTTGGCCAACGTCTTCAGTTCCAGCACGGTGTCTACCTGGTACGGCTCCACGTCACATCTGGGTACAGTCGTTAAGCGGACGCGCTTGCTGTGCTATGGGTGTCGGGCTACTGCTACGGCCCTCCCAGGTGTGTTCGTTACTGTCCTGTTACCGACGGGGTCAGGCAGTGCTAGGAGTGACGGCCCACGTGTTTTTGCTTGACGACGAATTATCCTTACGGCCCATCGCTGGTAGTCGGGAGTTACCTAGTGTGGGACGCCACTAGACGGGAACTCTGGGAGACGGCTCTTCTGAGTACGACCCACCGGCTGCCAGTTCGTGAGTATTGGACGCAATGAATCACACTGAGGGTGACGGAGGCTACATGACGACGACTTTGTGAGTCGGGCTGTCACGTTAGGAGTTTCGGGCATCGCTCGCGCAAAAACGGGCAACGCCTTTGTAACTGAAATCAACTTCTTGTGGCCTATCCCCTAAAGGCTGGTGCCCAAGAGCTGTTGCTGCTGTGTACAGTCTGCAGCGCTGCTCTTCTTGACTTAGGCCTTTTTTCATTTAACGTTTGTTGCATCGGCTCCTCTTTTTCCTTCACTGAGGATCCTATAGGGGTTGCGCGGTCTTCTCTGTTGGTTTTGTTAGGTCAGTTCGTTTTGGCTTGTTTTACGCGAGGCCTCGGGGCCTGACTTCGGCCGTAGTTCTCAGAAACGGATGAAGGAGGTACCTGCGATTCTCGCATGGGCAGTCCCCTCGCGCAAAGCGCCAGTCTGTTTCTTTTTCTTTACAAGGCCGCCGGGCGAAGACCGCGTAACCTCTATAAGAATGTCGGCAGGTCAGATCCTAAGGGAGTGGTGCTGGCTTATGGCTAACCCGGTGGCGCTGGCTCACGGCACACTCGGGGATGGCACGCTTCCGAAGTTTCTGCTCGCCCGCAATGAGCAGAGCCCGCTCGCTCAGCGTCCAATAAAAATGTCGTTGTCGTTGCTGCTGCCGTTGCTTGAATGAACTGTTCTATGGTTCTACTTCTTCTGATACTTGTTCTACTTAATTTTTCTTCTTGATACTATCACTATGCATCGCATACTTCTTCTTAGTGCTGTTATTAACAACAACGTTGTTGTTATCGCTGACGGCGGTGCTGCTATGGTTCTCGCTGTTACCACCATCACAAACGTTGCTGTGGTGGCGGTTGTGGATGACATGGTTTGCACCATTGCTATGACGGCCGTCGCTGCTATCATCCTGATGGGTGCTGTCAGACATTCTATGGCGGCGCAAGACTTACGTTGCTTCATATACTCAGAGCAATCGCCACAACGAAAACCACGATCGTGTGTGATTCCTCAGTGGCAAGAGTGACAGGACGGTTCCCATTCGTTGCTCTCGCCTGTCCAGGCTGAGTTGGGACTGTCGAAGCTCATCGCGCTCGGCCGCCACGGCCTCGTAGCGTCTCACCATGAACTGCTGTTTGATGATTCTGTTCTCATTCACACTGTCAGCTTGTAATTTGCCCATTGCTTGAACGAGGCGGCTTGTTGTGGTTTGCTTCATGTGCGGACGTCGCCGCAGCAAGTAAGCTTACAGGACTGTACTCGCGCCGCGTAGCGCATGGGTCAGTGGGGCTCAACGGCAATCCAGTTACATTGATCTCGCATACAGATCAAATCATCCAACTGAAACTGCCAAAACACGGAACCGACAAGAATATGTCGGAAATCTAGGCAGAAAGTTCCGCTTGACTCGACTCTCTTAAACTTTAGAAGGAGGCTCCGCTCGCTGCCCCCATGCAATGGACAGCCAAAGCAAGCATTCGATAAAACCTGAACATGAGTTGATCGAGTTCCGTTTGAAGCACCAGTCTGCAATATTCCACTTCCGAACGCTGAATGTTCACTAGCAGGATGTACAATCGGTATCAGCTTCATCTTGGCATCTCCACACCAACAAGATTTCATACATTCCGGTGCATTGTCTGAATTTCCATACTGTCTCAGTGAGGGAGCTGCACCACCACATAGTCCGTCCAGTATGCAATTTTGCGGCTGAGACATCAACGAAAGTGCGCATACGCAGCCGTCTTCAACCCTTGCTTCTTGCAGCAGCTTTTTGGAGATCAATGTTCATCTATTGTCGACACTGCTTATTAAAAATCCGATCAAGGCAAACGACATTGCTCCAGACCAAAACTCGAGCAGAAATGACGCGAACCATAAGGGCAAGGAGCACAAAGGATACGCCAACTAGAAATCAAAACAATACCAATACCTCCTTCGTTTCTCGACGGGGCTATACAGTGACACGTGATGATAACGATACCAGTGATGATGAAACGACGGTCCAGATGGCGATTGTGCGGCCTTGACGTGATTCTATGTGATTGCTGCTGCCGTTGTTGCTGATGCTGCGGATGCTGCTTCGGCAAGATTCTCACTACCTCTTCGTGACTAGTTGCTATCACAGCCAAAAAACTATGCCGCGCATTGCCAACGCGGATGCAGACATGCTGAGCCTGAAATAGACAGCAGAGGAAGCTAAACAGATTCGTGGACGCCCGGTGCTTGGCGCTACAGTTCGGGGTGCCCATTTTGCTGACACGCTGTCAGTGTTTACCCGCATGCCCCGACAGCATGGGCTATGCCCACGACTAGCATGGGCCATGCCCGACAGGGAAGTCAAAACAACCATGCGGACCCTGCACCTTGGGAGTGGGAACACGAAAATCTTGCGTGCACGCTGCACGATCTGAGGTTCCTGCCGCCTGGGCAGCCATTTTGGCCGCCTCCCTCGTCTCTTCCGTGCGCCGTGTCAGCTCTGTCGCGGCTGCGGAATTCCTCTCCTGCGGGGAGCACATAGATAGTAATATGCAGAAACATCGCAAGCAAAATGTGTACTGCGTGTGAGCGGGTGCATTGCTGCATCACGAATAGCTGTACAGTCGAAACATAGGTTGACTGACTCAGGATCCTGTGATACTACGGGAGGGAACCTGTGAGCACCTAAATGAGTTGTCACAGCTCGTAGGAAGGTCTCTTCTGCTTCAGGTGAGATCACAGCGCAGACGTTTCAACTTTTCTTGTCGGCCTCAGCAAGTCGTAGCTCTTGCTCTCGTCGGTCCAGCCCTTCCTTCAATATCTGGAGACCTGAAACAGGAAGCTTTTAATTTCAAGTTGTTCAGCCACAAGATCAGATTCTTGTGCGTGCAGCTTGTCCAGCATCGGACGTGCCGAGCGCTAATGAATTGACGAGATAAGCCACGAAACGAGACTTTGACAGGCGTAGTCCACCGGATGGCGGATTTTGGCGGTAAAAGGTCCACGAGGCCCTCCTCCTCGAAGGCTGAAGGCCTCCGTCCTCGAATCGGCCCTGACTCCTTACGGTTAGGCTGGTGAAGCCGGTTAGGCCCAGATGCTCCTGACGACAAATTGGACAAGGCAGAGAGGCGAAACGTTTCATAGACAAGACTTTCAATAACAACGTAACAACGCACCGCTGCGGTGGACGACACGAGATTCGATTCATCAGATCAGAACCTGGCTTAGGGCCGAACGTTTGTCTTCCACATCCAGGTGCTTTGCCCTGGTGGACTGGCGCCTCAGCTTTCGGAGCACTGCTGTATACGAACAGCCTGGTGAAACCAGAATCACAAGGATGACCTGCGGAGCAACGCACACGGGCTGTGTCGTGGGCACTTGTTCCTCGTCAATAACTTGTTGAGCTGCTGCTCGCCACTCTACCTCAGCCCGGCCAGGATGCACAAGTTCGCACAAGCTTGCCATGGCTTGCTTCCGCCTCGCAGAGCATGGTTTGTAGCTGCCGCAACTACAACCCGGCATGCGAAGATTCTGGATTCATGCTTTCCTCAGTGCTTCTCCAAGCCTGCTGCTTGCAGTTGAGGCGGAGGGCTTCGGGTACGGAACATAGAGACTGCAAGGAGAACTGATCTTTGCCGAGTCGTCGACTGCTTTCTTCTCAAGATCTAACTCCTGACGAGATCCATCGGAGTGGAACAGGCATGCCGGATTTGTGACTGGTTTGCATGCCTTGGCACGAGTCCGTTCAAGAGCAAGTCTCTCACCTCATGCCCAAGCAGTGCTCCCAATCAGCTTCTTTCAAACCCTAGCAGAAAACTGCAATGCTCTTGGGTCCGAGCGCTGATGCAAGCGTTCCTCTCTCTCCGAGAGCTCGCGCTTTGCTTTCGCCAGCGCCTCTGGCTCGACAAGGCTCTCGGATGATTTCGGCACCACGTCACGTGGCCTCTTGCACTTCGGCTCGGCTCTTGGCTGCTTCCTCGAGCGCCTTCAATGCCCCACTATGCAATGTCGATCTACGTAGCTGATCGTAGTTGGATTAGCCGCAACTACGGCAGGAAACCTACATCTTGATGTCGCTCGGTGCGCCAAGCAAATTGAAGCCACGTCTCTTCTACAGCAACCAATTGCATTCAGCACTCGATAGCATCTCATTCCAGAAACACCGTAACTGAGCTGATCTTCATATCTTGAAGCAACGCTCAGCTGCAGGCGATCTGCTCGCGCTCCAGCATGCGAACCCTTGCAAGTTCAGCCTGATTCCAGGGTACCAAAGCTGTCAACACAAGTGAAAATGAAACATGTAAGTGCACACAGCATGCGTGATGCATGGATGCATGCATGGACCATCCATACATCCATGCATCCATGCATGCATACATCCATCCATACATCCGTACATCCATGCCTCCATGCATCCATGCACCCATGCACCCATGCATCCATGCATCCATGCACCCATGCATGCATCCGTCCATGCATCCGTGCATCCATACATCCATACATCCATCCGTCATGCATACATTCATACCCACGCATACGACGCATACATACGCGCACATACGCATGTATATGCTTACACATCAGTAGGCTGTACATGTGCGCACATCTGCGCATGCATCCATTCGGGTGCACTACGTCACATAGTGCTAATGCGTCGCGTGCGTAGTCGATGCGCGTTTTGGCGCCAGCTCGGAACTCCGATTGCGTCACACTACATTACACCGTGTTATCTACAAAACGCTGCAGCACATCAACATGCATGAATTACACTACCTCGCCTTACCTTCCCTCACCTTACATGTAACATCACATTCCAATAAATCATATATCGAACGACCTGGCATCACGCTACATCACACAGCCTCAGACTCTTTCCGCACCATGGCTTCGCAGCGGGATCGAAACCTCACTGCAGGTTGAGACTGCCGCATGCAAGACATCCAAGGAAAGACTCAGGTCCGTGCTGGAGCATACGCTCTTCAATCGTTCGCCTGTCCTTGTGCTCGCCTGACCTTGCACCCACTTCTCGGCGAAAGGTCTCAGAGACCGTCAACCAGCCACAACTACATGGCGAACGTTTGCATCGCTACGCGGCTGGCACAGCACATGCACGGAGCTTCTCGTCGATAGTTTCGCCGATTCCTGGACATAAGCACCATGTGTCCACCAACGCAGACGCGTCGCGGCACGTGTCGAAGGCCTTGCGGGTCTGTCTGGACTCCCGTTGCATTGCATGTAGGCCTGATCTTCCCATGCAGGCTGTGACGGCTTTGGGTGAGTGCACAGTTAAGCTGCCAACTCCTCCGAAGCGGCCACAACTCGGAGCAAACGGTCCTTACAATTTCTGCAGCATGGCACCATTCGCGCATTCCTTCGCGGCACCTTCACCGTCTTGCACGCACCATCTTCTACATTTGCATCGACAGGCAGAATACAAGCAGTCGCGCGGTCACGGGTTTCATTCAATCCTCTCCCTTCGAGTATGTCTTCATTGAGCAGCTGCAAGACATCTGAGGCATGGGCGAGAAGTGGATCGTCACCCATTTTGGATGCCAAGCGGTAGGCCTCGTGGGTCGCAATCTACCGCTCGTAAACTCAGCTACCCCGCTACGTGCATGGCTCCACCAAAGCTCGGAAGCTCGGAGCAGGTCCGGCGATTTCTGCAAGGAGAGGGCCTGCCCGACCTCAACTCAGGCTCTGGGCGGGCAACCATGTCTCACTTGTGCACATGCAGTCAGCACACCTCGTCGGCTGCCAAGACATCTGAGGAAGTCATGCCACACCTGTTTTTGATTTCATAACTTGCTGTTGTATGCCGCAATCTCGCAAGGCAAACCTGGCTACCGGGCCGCCGACTCCGGCAACAGGACGGACAAGCTGTAGTCTTTTTGACGATGGCGGAGAAACCTGGCAAGCTGCGAATGTCAAGCTGGTGAGTGTGCCTGGATTGCACAGATGGACAGACACAGACAGACAGATAGATAGATAGATGGATAGATGGATAGATGCATAGATGCATAGCTGTATAGATGTAGATACTGATATTGATACAGAATATAGACATCGACATCGATATACATACAGATACAGGTATAGGCATGGGTATAGGTAGAGATGTAGCTATAGCTACAGGTATGGATATAGATATAGGCATAGACATAGATACAAAGAAAGATACAGATATAGATACCGATATAGGTATGAGTATAGATATAGCTGTAGGTATAGATGTAGATGTGCATGTGCATTTATATATATATATATGTAAAAAAAGAGAGTGTGTGTGTATACAAGAATACTACAAGTAGTAGAGAAAGGCTGTTATACTTGTATAGACATGCATATATACATCTTAAGATATATGTGTATACATAACACTAAACGACGACCGAGGACGGTGACGGCGACGGCCGGGCGCCTGCGACGATTCCCACGGCGACAAACTGCAGCACACCTTTTTACGACGACGACCAGGACGATGAACCACCATCAGCACCACCACCACCCCCACTGCTACCACCAACAACAACAAGACAAGACCAGTTATAGCTATGCATAGTTATCCTTACGGTTCTCGAATGCTGTTCTTCGGACACAGCTGACTTTGATGGCGGATCAGCGTGCAGACATTGCAAAAGCAGGCAAGCTCCGCTCCAACACCAGGCCTCGGCTGCAACACACACACACACACACACGCATTCAAATCTTTAATTCGGCTTTGGGTGTTGATTTCGCCTTGGGATGTTAACGTACAGAATTCGCGCTCAGGGTTCAGGGCTGGTTCGGCCGTAGTGTCTTCCAGCACCTTGGGCCGCGACTGTACAGGGCCCTTTCAGCCAGAGGTATTCTGTCATCTGGGTCAAAAGCCTGCAAACAACTAATTGCCACACTCCTCGACACGGCTACCTCTCGCGACAGCTCCCCGGAGCCTGCAAGTGAGACGCCTTATGGAGAGACCTCAAACACCACGAGACATTGACCGAAGGCTTGTGTCAGTGAGGTGCAAACTTAGTAGCCGGCTGAATTAAACGAAACCGCATCTCTGACTTGAGACTCTTGGCGATGCCTTCACAGCACGCACCAACTGCACGGCGGAGGTCTCATGCGCTTTCAGTGTAACCAGGCTGGCCGAGAGAGTCTATGAGAGTGGCAGTCGTGACTTGCAACTGCAGTTCACGACCTTTGCACTTGGCATTGTCTTTGCTTTGCGTTGTTGTGTGTTTCGCCTGCAAGTTGTCAACATTGGTTCCACCTAGCACAACTTATCCCACTGCTCTGCACGGGGGGTTCGGCCAGCCTGACAAGTGATGCTCACTCACTCCGACTTGCTGTTGTGCCCGAGGTTCCAATCGTTGTAAAGCTTCGCAGAACCCACCGGCATGGGCAGGGTCGGGGAAGATCACGCCTGTCTTTTCGGCTGCAGCAGCCACCTCTGCATGTAAGCTTGCCTGGGTCAGGATGATGCATCTGCATCGACTAGCATTTTCACGCTTCCGCGACATCCAGCACATCCAGCATCCGACCTGCATGCCGGCATGGTGCTGCACCGCCATTATGGCATTGGCCACCCATGCACGTGGGCTTGCATGCTACTAACCAATGTCAGAGAATTGTCGAGCTTGAGGATCGGGGCTGTGTCAGCTGAGCAGCTGCAGTCCCATGTGGTCTTGTCCTTTATGTCCCGCTGCTTCGTTCAAAGGACATCGCGGGCTGCTGGCGGCACACAGTGGCATCGTTGCACCGATCTTCGGGAACTTTCAGGCGTGCAGATGCAACTGGGCGCTGCAAGCCGGCGAACCGGGCACTCCTCCTTGGATGCCGCTGTTTCGATCGGATGCCAGCATGCGCATGCTGTGTCTGGATGCCGCTTTCACAGCACCTTCTGTGCTGGTGAGATGGTCTTGCCAGCGTGCTACAGTAGCGATATAAGGTGCCAGAACCAAAGCAAGCGTGTGTTGCAAAAGAAGATAACGCCTTGTCAGGGAACGAACATGTGCCGTGAAATCGCTATCAATAGAATGCCTTTTGCATTCCATCAATCTCAATTCGAGGAATGCATGTGCTGTGACATGCAAAGTGGTCAGGTGCACGGCATCCAAGGTGAGTTGATGCGGCGTGTCTTGGTTGCATTCATGATGTCAGCTTCCACTCTGCATTTTCGATTCCTGAGAAACATTGAAGTCCCCAGCGCTGCCTTTGGCAGCACTTGTGGTCACTAGCAGACGTAAACGTAAGAATGCATCGTTCATCCAGGTCAGGGCCAAAGCCGACAGGAGCATCCCTCATGATACGCATCGTCACGCATGCACGTATATTATACAACTTTCGGTGGCCTGGATGGCCCTGACTTCTGGATGCAAACTGAGCATCTACTCACACCCTGGGCAAGGGCAGATATGAAGATGTGATGCAAAAGGAAGGTTGCACAGGCAACTCTCGTGCCTTCTACTCGCAGCTGTCGCTTCCTGGCGCATCGGACATGCTAAATTCGCCTCGGCCCGACCGAAGCGGTCGAGAGGTTTCTACAGAACCTTGTCTGCCCTTCGCTCAATCATCTCCGCGTTGAGCATGCAGCTGGCACAACCCGAGGCACCTCCTTTCCTGGAAACTGACTGACGGCCCCCAGGGCGCGATCGTTCAATTTCATGTCCTCGACTGGACATCCCATATCCTTCCATATGACTGAATTTGCCATCCCGCCCTCAACCGGCCATCCTTGGTCCCTTTTTTCTGACCCACCGGGCGGCCGAGGTGGACGATGCGAAAGCAATTCTAATAATCTACTGGACTCCCCTGGTGCACGAGATAGCCTATCCATCGACTAAATGCAAAGAGATAAAGAGGCTCCTTCGCCCACGCCACAAACGTCTCGATCACAGTCTCGCCTCAGACAGGCCAGCCGTGCACGTGTCACCGTTACGAGCGCAATTTGATGGCCTTGCGCGATGACGAAGCCGAGCACGAGGGCCATTGTGAGGGCACAGATATAAACACCTGGGCACGGCGGGCACGGCTGCGGCTCCGACGTTCTTGCATCGGTAAAAGCTCACTGATCTGGGCCGCGACAAGCGCCGACACTGCGCGTGCTCTCCCGACCTCGTGACAAAAGTCATTCTCCACATGCCTGTCAGTCAGCTGCACAACAAGGCCCGTGCCCACACGCCGGAGTGCTCGCTTCATCTCAGCCTTAGCAAGTACTCTTCCGCTCCGCGAAACACTCGCGTTCAGCAGCCTGCCTGAGATGTGGAAGTCTGCAGGACTTCCGGCAAGTCCTATGCAAAAAGCTTGGCTCTTGATTGCTGGCACGGTGTGCAAAGCTGTCCTTTGCAGCCTGCTTGTCGGGCGTGCCAGGCTCCTTCGGAAGTCGGGATTAGAGGGAGCCTCGGAAGGTCGTCTGAAGGCTTCAGACCGATGCCTGTGGTGACATGACCTCACCTGTCAGATTCGTCGAGACATCGGCTCGGAAGGCTGAGCAATGATTATGCAACGTTGCCGCGAGCCTTCATCAAGAGCATTGTGATCGGGCGAGTCATGCCCGATCTCCTGATGCCGAACGTTCAACAGGGCATCGAAACCCTGGCGTGCTTCAAAGAACTGCATGGGCCTCCTCCTCCTCTTCCTTCAAAGCAGACCCTTGAAACCTGAAAAGGAAAGGTGCGGGGAGCAGCGACGTGCGTTCAGAGACGCAGGAATCTATTTCAGTGGCATCAACTTAAAGACTGCAAGCTCCAAAGACAGTCGGCCAACAAGACAAAAGTTGTCAGATGTCAACTTGCCACTTAGAACAAATTGATCGAAACCGCTTTACATCGCTGTGAAGCAATCTGATCTCCTTCGACCTGAATTGACCGTCCCGGCTGGAGTTCCTTCATTTACATATTGGATCATATTGGCAAAAAATGCCTTGTCGATGTGAATACGATTTTTGTTACCACCGCGCTGAAGCTGCTGCACTGCTGCTGGCCGCTTGTGCTCCCCAAACAGTGCGGTAACATCAGGAGGTTCCAACGTTGAGAGTAGAGGGGCTAGCTTCACTGCCGAACCCGGTGGTCCTGCGTCCGCCGTGACGCGGTGCACGTCGCGTAAAATCGAATTATTTCTCAATAGTCCCGGGCCGGCACCACGTTCGCCGCAGGTCGCAGGGCCAGGGGGACAAGTTATTGTGAAGGCCCCTTAGGACTACGTTGCTCGTCCGCTCGAGTTCCCACGACAGGGTGAAACATTTTGACGGTGTCCTCGAAACCTCTCGAAATGCTTCGAATCCAAGCAGGGCTACACTATGAATGCTACACTATGAGTCGTCTCAGGCTCTTCTTAGTGGGTTCATTCGATAAACGGAACGACTGGGACAAGATGCAACAAAGGATATTGTTGAGTTGTCCCGCCTGCAGAGGTACTCTGCTAGCTCCCGCTTGATCCTCTTGAAGGATTCTTTGCCTTCCAGGAAGCAAGCTGCACTGAAACGGTCGAGCAGTAGTAGGAGGAGGATGGATCTCAGCGACCCACTTGCCAAGGCGACCAGCGTGTACTGCATGACATTAAGGACCTGACTGAAAGCGTCAGGGACACCAAGCGCATCCGCTCGAACGTGGTTTGGGCTAATGATGCCAGGGTGCAATGCAGAGCCCATTCTTCACTCCCAAGCCGGGGAAGTAGGTATGCTGCAGCCTCACATGCTGCACGGACTGGCATGACTGGCAACAACCGTTTTTGAAGACCAGCGAAGAGCTTCATGCACGCATCCGAGCGTACGACAATGCCCACAGCCAAACCTCGATTCGAGCTTGTGTTCTGATTAAAACCCGCCAAAGCAAATCAGGCAAGCATTTATATTTGACCTTGAACGGGAGTAAATGCTGAGCCCTGCACTCGTATAGTTAAAAATGGGATGTCGATCAGGAAGATCGATGCAATGGCCGACCTGCACAGCTTGCGGTAAAGTTGTGCGACGGGAAGCTCGATGGCCACTGAAGCACCCGACCGCTTTCGAGCAATGATGACATTCTGGCGCTGAATGAGATTTATGATGGCCTTAGCAAGCAAGCCTGCTCTCCACTCCTTCGCCCCCCTGTTGAGTGTTGAGAATTGAATCTGCGACAGTCTGGGCTCATGAGGCTGCTACCTGCAATCTCCGCCTGCGGGCCCTGCCACGTGGTGAGGAACTCTAACTCTTATGTAGTGCAGTCTACCAAGTTCGAGTCTGAGTCTGCCCCAGGCCTCTCATGTCGCTCCAGCCAGGCTCGCTCGCGTCCGGGTCCTCGGTGGTCAAGACGCGCCCAAAAGCGAAAACGCCATTTTGCTGCTGAGCGGAGAACCGAACCCCGTGCTCTTTCGAAGCATGATTCCCGAGCCCGAGCTTTGCCTGAAAAAAGATCGCTGGAACCTGCTTGTTTCTCTGAAGGCTGCCGGCCTGTCGCTGAAGGTGTCGCCTGAGCTTGGCAGCCCACCACGGAGGTCTGCGGCAAAGGTGACCGCCTGCAGCCCAAGTGCAGTGCATCGCAAGATCGCTACGTCCTAGAAGTGGCTCCTGTCTTGCACCCGAGGTCTCTGATTGCCAATCCTGTGGCGGCCAAGAGGCACTTCCAGGCTTGGAAACTGCCAGCTCCAAGTCTCCAAGATCCTAACATTGCAACATCCGGCCGACCTCTGCGCGCCGTGGCGGCACCGAAGAAGAAGCCGACGAAGCTGCCTGCCAGTCCACTCCCGAGAGCTTCCTTCGGGAAGAACTCCAGCATGTAAGCAAAAGACCGCAGCTTGCAATTGAGACCTCAAAGACATTTCGCTCGCTTGCGCACTTCTGTGACTTCCAGACCGTTGCAAGAGACAACCAAGGAGAAGGCAACGGAGCTTGTGGCTGCATTGCATACCTGCTGGCCGCTCTCAACTCCGGCCGGCAGGTTCGATGCGCTGAGGCCAGGAAGCCTTTGTGCATTGGCCGCGGCCGCGGCCTGCATCTGCACGTCGGTCCTGCGAAAGCAAGGAACCACAATCCGCAGGTGTGCCACGTCCATCAAGTAGCTTCGTCCTGGAGGGCTCCTCGCGTGGCTCTGAGCACGCCTGGGGCAATGTGGCCTGAGCACAAGGATCCTCAAACCAAACAGTTCCCGAAAAAGCACAGTTTTGAGCACAGGGCGGAAGCTTCAACCTCAGAGGTCAGCATTGTTGTCATTCTGGACGGTAAGGTGATCTAAAGCAATTTCGAACGCTTTCCTACCTAGATGAGGATGGGTGCCGGATCAAGAACTATTCCGGCCCCCAGGTATAATTGAATCAGGATCAACAAAAAGCTATGCATGCTCCCCCATTTCGGTTGGGAGGGGCGGGTGGGTTGGTCGGAAGCGTCAGTTGTCTGCGACTTGCCTCACTGCAACCACACAGAGTCGCTGAGCTCCCTAAACCCTTTAAGTCAAACCCAAAGCCGAGCCACGCAAGCTATTGGGGAATGTCATTTTGGACTTTGCAGGGTCTGCCTTTGTGCTAAGCTATTCGGGACTTCCACTTTGTGGGGTCTGGCTTTCGGGAAGTGGTATTTGCAAGGCATTTCTGGGGCAAA